AAAAGAAGGCCAAATTGTAGATATAGTATTTGTTTGATTAAGTTGAGAAATTTGTATAAACCATAAAGGTTAACAACCTTTGGCTAGTTTATTTGTATGTAAATAAATATTGTTCTATGAGAGAAGTTTGGTATTGTTAGCAGTTGTAATTTGTTCAACAAAAGTATTTTGTTATTTCTTAGACTATTTAATATTAAAGAAGGTAAGTTTGAGAGAAGAATATTATAAATTGTAGAATAAAGTAAATTTGTAAGTAGTTAGAGAAGAAATATTATGTTTGGCTAATTGTGAAAAGTGAAAGATTAAAGTAAAGTTGTATATTTTGTAATAGTGTTTATTTAATAGATTAGTAGTAAGCCTAGAGGACCAGACTTTAGTAAGCCAGAGTACTAATATTCTTAAGAATAAGAGAGGTATTGAATGTATATTCAATGTTTGAGACACCTAGTTTTTGAATAATGTTATTTAGGGTTGGCAGATTAAAAGAAAGTGGATTAGTAAGAGTAACATTATTAGTATTTTTTGCTAATAATAGCATTTTTAGATTGAATAGTGAACAATCAAGATAATTTAGTTTGTATATTTTTGTGAATTGGAATTATTTGTAGCAGGTATTTAAGCAAGGGTTGTAGGATTAAATTAAATACAGTGAGACCTTCTTATAATCACCAAGTCCGTCATGTCCTATTGTGATAATTGTATAGAGGTGTAACTATAATCAAATATCAGATTATTATCATATGAACTTCAGCCGATCAATGATTAATTGATAATTCAGTAGTCATGATTTAAAAGTTTTTTTGTACTAAGGTAACCATCTTTGAGTCTTTAAATGAAGTTGTAGAGCTCATTAAGATGAATTTAATGGTGGTTAAATCATCAAAATTGGCCTAGTGGTTGCTGAGATATCTTTGAAAAACTTTTCACTGACTACAGTCAACCCCCTCTATAGTCACAAAATTTGTATTATTATAAATTTACTTTTACCAATTATTTATAACTATATAGAAAATACCTCTATATTAGTCACACCTCTTTATAATTATAGTTTTTTGTATCCCAAAGGTGTGACTATAGAGGGATTTGACTGTATATAAATTTTTCAAAAGAATTTTTCTATAGTCGGCGAAATGTTTTCGAAGATATCTCGCATCTGCTAAGCTGATTTTGATGATTTAACCACTATCAGATTTATCTTAATGAGCTCTACAACTTTACTTAGAAACTCAAAGGTGATAAACTTAGTCAAAAAACCTTTTAATTAATAATTAGTGATTATAAAAAGGTTTTTTATTAATAAATTTGATTTAAAAATTAAATTTTAAGGAGATAGTGATTATAAGCGATTTGTGACTATAATGAGGTTTTTTTACTATATTTTAAGTCTATCACACAAAATTGGGTGCTTAAATAAAGGTGTGACTATATGGGGTGTGATTATAGGGAAGTTCGACTGTAGTGCTAATATTTGAGAAGGTATTACTTTTTTATATTTTATACAATTAAGAAAGTTTTTAATTTTGTTAAAAATTGTGTCAAGTGTAGGTTTGGAAAAGCCATTACTATTATAGAAAACTCCAAGATATTGTATAACATCATGAGGTTTCTTAGAAGTAATAGCTTGGTTATTTGCATGGAGTATAGATGGTAAAGATGAAGATTTAGATTTAACATAAAGTAGGTCTGATTTTGTAGTATTAATTTTAATATTATTAAGTTTGTAAAGAATAGATATATAATTCAAAATATTCTGTATTATGGCTTGCTAGAGTATAATACATTCCAAATTTATCAACTTTGATTACAATCTACTATAAAATGTTTTATTGTCTGCAACATTCCCTGACAGTAAGGGCATTCTCTATTCTCAGCGTTAGATATATGAATTAGTTTATATTCTAGAGGTAAGGCTCTATATGTTAAACACCAAAAAATGATTTTTTTTATTTTCAACCCTATGCATTTCAGATTGCAGCCACTGGTCTTTCGCTGAATTGTTTTTACTTTGAACTGAAAGAGCCATTCTGGTTTTAGATATTTTTCACTTAAAAATTCTGTTATCTTTTTAACCAAATATTGATCACCCTCTGACTTAACAATATTTATATTAGCTAGAGACTATGGCCAATTTGCTAAGTTCGTGTTTACCCTTCCTTCTAATTTTTTTAGGCTTTGGCATAAACTTTCTAGTTTTCGGGCCAACCTTTTAACTTGAAGGCATACTGTTTAGTACATCCTTAATGTTAATATTGCATTTATTGTGCAAGCTCTTTAAAATTAAAGATCTCTCAATATTAGCCCATAGATTGTCAGTAAATAATAGTTTTAGCCAAATTATTGTTAGTCTAGCCTATAACATGTGCTCTATTATAGGAGCCTTGAGTCTACCTATCTCATAGTCTTGCTGAAATATTGACATTCTTGGAAGTGTTTTGAATTTACTCTTTATTCAGTAGGTTATAGTGTTGCTTAATTCTTTAATTTGTTTATTATTTGGTGGCAAAATATATGCTGTATACCAAATGCACAACAAGAATAAAGATTTTGCTATTAAAATTTTCCTACTTAAGGAAAGGTTTCTTGAGGACATTTTGTCTATTAGTTTATGTATCTTCTGACATAAGGTCGACCATGTATTTTATCCATTTGTCTTTTAGCATTGATGGTATATCTCAGAATTGTTAAATTTTTCTTATTTTTCAATTTTTTAAAAAGCTCTTCACCTACAAGCTCTGTATGCTCAGCATTACTAGTGAAAGGTACTAAGACTGACTTTTGACAATTTTTTTCACATTTGAAGCTCTTTCGTACTTTTTGACAAGTTCAGAGAATGTAGCCCAATCTGATCTTAATCCTAGCCCAACCGTCAAATCATTAGCATAAGTGGCTAATTTAAAATTTTGACCATTCACTTAGATTCTTCATAAATTCTTATTTAGCATGCGAGGAAAGGTTTCAAAAGCTAGAACATACAATAATGGTGATAAGGGGTCACCTTGGTGGACCCCTTTACTAATATTGAAAGGTTCAGATAATAGCCTATCTGTAATGTAGGCAGTTTGCTCTAAAAATAATTTATCAGTTATTTTCACGAACTTGGAGTTGAAATTCATCTTATTTAGTACCAATTGTAGAAAACGATGGTTGACTCTATTGAAAGCCTTCTGTTGATCTATAAATATTAACTAGTGCTGCTTAGTTTGTTCTGACTAATTTTTTATAATAGATAAAACATCTAGAGCCATATCTGTTATTGACCTTCCTAATATAAAACCTTGCTGATAGTTCCCGATTATATCATGACATATTCCATTAAACCTAGCTGCTAAAATTTTCATAAAAATTTTGCAGTCAGAATTGGTGAGAGATATAGGGTGCCAGTTTCCTACTTCTTGTAAATCTATGACTTTTATGGTATAAGAGTAATTATATTTTTACTCCAAGATCTAAGTAATTCTCCACTATCAAGGATTTCATTAAACAGTCTTTTTAAAACTGGAACAATGTTCTCCTTGGTTCTTTTATAAAACTCATATGTAAAGCTATCAGAGCTGAGGCTTTATTGTTAGATAAGTTATTTATTATGAGAGTAATTTCCTCTCTTGTAATTTTTTGGTTAATGCAGCATTCTGTTTATTGGATATCTGAGCCAGATTAGTGACTAGTTTCTTTGCCACCTTCAGGTTAAAGTTTTTTGCTCTAAATATTTCCTCGTAAATATTTCTTATGTATTGTAGAATCTTGATTGGATCTGTCTCTGATGGATTACTTAGAATATGAACTTTGGATGTAGCTGTTATGGTATGTCTTATTTATAGTGTGAAAAAAAGTATTTTGTAGAGTGCTCACCCTTTTTAATCCACATAGAGTTAGACCTTATTTGCCATTTGTTTGCCAATGTATCAAGCTTCTCTTGTAACTGAGTTGACAACTTTTCTATTACGATGTTTAGGTCTTCTCAAATGGATCAACTGCTATCTTTGTCTTTAACTTAGTGATGCTTTTATTTAATTTAAGATACGACTTTCAGAAGCATTTGGTGGCTTATATACATGAATAATTGATTGTATACAACATTTCAATAATCTCAGTTTTTTGCATTTTTGAAACTTAGTATCTCTTCAGTAACATCTTTTCTTAACTTATTGTTGTTTCAGCATCTTTTATCAAATCTCCAGTATGCTGCTTTCCTAAACATGGGCACGAAGTTCAAAGTACATTCTACTAGAAGATGATCTGAATTTCCAAATTGAGATCTAACAGATTGACAGAACTGAAGGTAATTGTCTTCAACAAAAATATAGTTCAGCCTGGTGGCCATAGTGTTATTACTATGTGTTGTTTGAAAAAAGGTGAGAAAAGGTTTTGAGTCTAAAATTTCTGCTGTACCAGTAAATCCTCTTATACATTCATTGAGTATTTTTCTTGTAGTGTTATTGTGTAGTTCCACTTAACTGACTCTATTTTCTTGAGGATTGAGATTAACATTGAAATCTCCTGCTATTATGTTGATGGCTTTCTTATCTATCACAGAATCCTATGAGTTCAAGAAGGCAGCTCTTTCTGCTATATTAGAAGGTGTGTAAATGTTTGATATCTTAAATAGTTTATATTTAAATTTAAATTGCGCCATAATTATTCTTCCATTGTGTGACTCTTTTACATTTTCAAATACAATGCCTTTTCTATCTGCTAAAATAGCTGTTTTATTTGTCTAATATGAATCATATATCCATTGTTTTGCAATAAATTTTCTTAAATTTTTATTATTAAGGCTTGTTTCTTGTAACATTATTATGTCAAACCAATAGGATTTTAAAAGTGTCAAAGTTTTTTGATATTTATGTCTGTTATTGAATCCCTTAACATTTAAGGTAGATATTTTTATTGTGCAACTCATGGTATTGTGATTGTTGAATGTTGATGAGAGAACTTTGGCTTGTCTCACTGCCTTTTATCCTTTTGTATGGATTATATCGTTCATCTGCCATTGGTAGCACTTAGTTCTTTTTCTTTTTTTTCGATACTATAGTAAACCCATCTTCAGTCAAATTTTGATGTGTTTTTTGAAAAGTTTCTATCTTTTCATACTCCATAATATTTGTATTATTTCCATCTATTGAATCAGTGTTGTTTGTTACATCTGCCATCATTGTATCTTCCTCTGTATCTAGTACAGGTTCTAAATTTTCTTTGTAACCTTTTTTTGTAAAGTGTATTGATACTACCTCCATTTCTGTATTTTCTACTTCTGCTTCAAGTTGTACATTAACGTTTACATTCCTATCAGTTTGTATTTTGTTAGGATAAAGGTTTTGATTAAGAAGAATTTCATCAGTCACAGGTACTGTATTCTCTATATAAGGGTTGTCTATCTATAACTAGTTGATTCTATTAAATTTTGTTTTTTTACAGCTTCTTTATGCTCTTTCTGTAGCTTTCTAAACTCCACTAACATTTTAAATTCTGGGCAGTCACGTTTGATGTGTCCAGCCATATCACAGTAAAAACATAGTTTGGGAGCCTCCTTCTATTCTGTTAGCACCTTTTGGTTACAAATGTGTATATACCTCAGAATTCTTTCTGGAAGATCTGGGTCGTCAGTTGTCTCAAAAATAATTATACATTGATTTGTGCAGATTGGAGCACCTTCGTAAACCAAGAGCTTAATAGAAGTGATTGTGCCTATGTCATCAAATACTGCTTTAATTTGTTTTAAAATGAGCTCTTTGTGTTCTATTAGAACGTTCCTCAACTTAACAGGTAAGTAATTTGTTCTCAGATTTATAGTTATGTACTCAAAGATAGTCTGTCTAAAAATTGTTAATCCCTCTGTGGCATAATATCTTTGTTTTTCTTCAGTGGTGAAGATTACCTCTAAGAGCAAACACTTTCTTTTGGTAAAGTCTGATTTCGCAGCTATAAAGTCGTCACCTATTTTTACATACATTGCAGAGACAATTTCGTTGATAGAAAGACTACTTAGATTTTTAATGTCAAAAATTAAGATGTTTTCATTTTTTGAATGAATATGGTTTTTAGAAAAAAAGTGAAGTATATTGCTTTCCCCCTTCTTAATTTGAAGAATAGACTTGACTATTACTTCTTGGTTTGGTCTTTGATTCCTCAAGCTTTTCTGTATCTATTTTGGATTCCTTATCTGTGTCTACTTCAGATTCCTTATCTGAAACCTTATCCATTTGTCTATCATCATGTGAATGTGAAATGTCACCTGACTTGTCATAAAATTTTCCAGAACCTTCTTCCATTATTATCACATTCAAAAGAGGAGCTTTTGCTAAGTCTGCTGTATTAGATGGTTCACCTGTTGTTAGTTCTTTTTCTGTAACTTCTGCCCAGTTTATGACATCAAGCTTGTAGCCCTTGGGGTTGACTTCTGTATTGGAGAGTGTTCTGAGTTATTTTTTGATGAAACTGCCTTATTTTTTTCTACCATGGCTTTTGACCTGGTTTCATGAACTTTAGCTCTTTTTTCTTGCCATTTTTCCATCTCTACAATGATTAACTTTCTTTTTCTTGTTGAAAAGGCCTTCACCCTTACTACTAGTCCTTTGTTGTGTTTGAAGTTTTTTACTAACAGTATTCTAAAAGTTTAGCTCTACCCTGGTACAAATAATCGACCAAAAAAAGATCTTTTTTTTAGTGTTTAATTGAAATCTAAAAGTGATCTTCATATCTGCTTGCATGTTGGTAAACCATCCCATGATGATTTAAACTATTATTTAGATCAAATTCTAATGACTTATTAAAGCTGTAAGTGATACTGACAGTTTCCTGTTCTTGATAAACCTTTCTGTGCATATTTAACATTGCTGAACCTGACACTTTTTATAATTTACTTAAATATTCAAAAGATGACCTATCGAAATCTGAAGGAGTCACTCCATATTTAGAGGTATGAGCGCTATATCATAATTGGTCGTAATGATAATGAATTATGGCAAAAAAATGCTATAAATAATTATAATTATGACCAATTACGGCATTGCACTCGCACCTCTATTCATATGTGCATCTTTTTATAATTCAAACCATGCTTATTTAATAACATTATACTGTATCGGTTTTATTTAATAATTTTTTTAAATCTATAACGATTCCTTATGTTGACCTTATATTAATAAATAATTCGCGAATTCTTAATGCAACTAGATTATTTGTTTAATTTTTAATATACTATTTGATATACTATTTAACTACGTAAGAGATTCTTTATATTTGTCTATTAAATAATAAATTAATCCACGGTCACTTAAGTTATATATTACTTTGTTCATTACCTATTAACTTGCTTACCAACAAAATCGCCAGATTCGCGAATAGTATTCAGTAATTTAATTTTAAAAATCAAAGTCCTTGAATAAGACTTTGGGATTGCATGCAACGCCAATTGACACAGTATTTGTTACATTACGACTGTTTCTCTTTGGACTTTTTTGCATCCACAAAATCGCTTATTATAATTCTGTATTTAGAAACAAACTATAAAGACACAGTAACCTAGGACAAGGCCGATAATTGTGATTTTCTTTAGTCAGTGGTTAAATAAATCTATAGATAATGAAATATAAATTATTAAAAAAAATTTCATGTGTTACGGTCGATTTCCGATAAGTCCATGAATTTAGTCTCGATACAACGCTAATTGCATACGTAGATTGGGTCTCATCTTTTAAGGCACAATATATTTATATCATAAATAACATAATTTATCATAATTTATTGGGAAAGGACCAAGAAAATATATCTACTACATCCTCTTGTTTTAAAGAATAAAAATTATTTAACGAAAAAAATAATAACTAAAAGATTTGATCAAAAAAAGGTTAAATTTAAGAAAACCTTTTATACGCACCTGGCTTCTTTAATTTGATTCGCGTACTATAAAGGTACTATTCATTTAATATACACGATGACATGTATGGTGACGCATGAACGATATTTAATAAGATTAATTTGTAATAATTCTCTAAAGGATTGTTACATTACACAAAACTACGGTATGAAGATTCTAAGGTTTTTATTTTTATAAAACGGAATTTAGAATCTATGGGTGGAAAGAATAGCAATCAGATTACTATGATCGGACTGCTAAATAACTCGGGTTTTTGGCAAAAAAAGTTTATTTTGGTTTTTTGGCAAAACTTGACAAAAAATTGATAGTTATTCAGAAAAAATTTATACGTACGTAGCTTATTTCATTCTATCGGAATGGGGATGCACATACGTTCATATGTTTTTGTTTTACGTGTGTACCTAGAATGCAGTATGACGTATCTTTTGCGTATGTCATTTAAATAAATTTAGAATAAATCGAAGCGTTCGAGTAGTTTCTTATATTTTAAAATTCTCTAAGTAGATTAATGCATTTAAAGTTGTCTTTCATGCTTTAAAATTCACTAGACAAATCGATGCATTAAAAATAGTGGCTCGTTTTGTAAATTTCTAATAGTAAGAGTTTTCAGAATTAACGTGCAGAAATCTAATATGGAAGAAATAGATAACATATTAATTTTCAAATGAGGGATGTATCGACTTTATTTCATTTTCTGATAAATTTGTAATAATGATTTTTGTCGGTGAAAAGTTTATTTATTTCGTTAAATGGGTGTCTCCGATTTCAAAGTTTTGATGTACAAATAAGATTTTTTAAGCTCCTACTTATTTTCGAAATACGCTATTTTTTTTTTTTTAATAATATTAAGGCCCCTTGGTTTTATAATTCTTTAGATAATCGAAGCATGTACAGTAGATTAAATCTCTAGAGTTTTTTTTACGATTGGATAAGTCGAAATAACTTATTGAAGTTCCTTTTTTGTATTGTTTGTAATAAAAACCTTATACTATTGCTTGTTTACATGATCCGATTTTTATACATATTATCTTTTTATTTATCGTTATATATTTTTAATTAAAACTTTTTTTTTAGACTCTCCACGTTATGCCCGACCGTTGTAATTATTCAGCAAAAATTGATACGTACTGTACGTAGCTTATTTCATTCTATCGGGATGTACGTTTTTTTTTTACGGGTATATCTTATGATTTACTTTGTGTATGTACTTTTTAGATAATTTTTAGAATGAATCAAACACTCGAGTGTTCGAGAAATTTCTTATATTTTAAAAATTCGCTAGGCGGATCAAAGTAATTAAAGTCGTCTTTCATGTTTAAAATTCACAGACAGATCGATGCTTTGAAAATAGTTGTTCGTTTAACAGTAAGGGGTTTCAGAATTAACGTGCTTGGAATCTAATTTTGATAAATTATTTTCAAATGAGCAATGTATCGACTTTATTTCATTTTCCAATAAATCTGTTATGATTTTTGTCGTCGAAAAGTTTATTTATTTCCTTAAATGGGAGTCTCCATTTCATTTTCCGTTTTCAAAATTTTGTTACACAAATAAGATTTTTTTAAAAATAATCGAAGCATGTACAGTAGATTTCCATATTTTAAAATTTTCTAGATAGTGTAACTATTAATTCGGGAGAGAACTAAAACTAAACCGACTTATACTCTAATAGTTACTGGGAGATAGGCTTTGATTTACTTGAATAAAGGTCTCTTCAGCACTACACTCGCTTACTTCCTTTATTATCCTTAAGTAAAATCGAAGGGAATCTCTTTTTTATTAAAGACTAATTCTGAGGAAATCTTCTCTCTCTCTTATTAAAGGTCAAAAGATAGCGTTTATATACCATCGTGTTACCTAGCACTCTAACGTGCTATCTTAGCACGCTGGTGTCGTGTTTGGGGTTAATAGTAGTCGTTGCTACTAACGCCTAACTCAAAGGGCAAAGCAAGCGAATAAATATTTATATATCGACCTCCCAGGGTCGTATCGGGTAAGTAACTTACACTTCGTTCAAAGGATAGCGTTTTACAAGAGCACTTACTAATCGGTTCTTTATTTTTCTTTTGCTTTACTTATACTCATTGACTTTTTAATTACATCATATTTTTAACTACGCACATTTGACTTTTTAATTAACTTATTACTAATTACGCTATGTCTATAAATCCTATTACGACATTGTTCATGCATCAAGCAATTCTTGAATGTGTGCCAGGTTTATGGCGCAGATTGCCTGAACTACGAATCAGATTTCAAGATCAGGTGAAACGTAACACGAACATGAAATTTCAAAACAAACGGCCGTTTTTGTCAAAAATTGCTTATTTCTTGAAAAATTGCATATAAAACTACTCTTCGCACACTAACAAGAAGTTTTCCTTG